GAGGACTGACCTTGGTCTCGGCGCGCGGGCCAGCCCAGAGGCCAGCCCAGAGGCCAGCCCAAAACTCACGGCGCCCTTTGGTCGGCGGGCCGACCAGAAAAGGGCACCGCAAGCGAGAGGGAGGACGGGCCAGGACCCCAGGCCCAAAACAGCACCCCCCCAGGGACTCCGAGAGGATGAGAGGGGGGGGAGGGGGGGGAGGAGGAGGAGGAGGAGGAGGAGGACGAGGGGGAGGAGGAGGTGGAGGAGGAGGAGGAGGAGGAGGAGGAGGAGGAGGAGGACGAGGACGAGGGAAAGGACGAAGGAGGAGATGTGGGGACGGAAGAGGAGGAGGAGGAGGAGGAGGAGGAGGGAGGAGGAGGAGGAGGAGGAGGCGGAGGAGGAGGAGGAGGAGGAGGAGGATAGCCCGGACCTCCAACGTCTCGAAAAAAACGAGGCTCGAATTTGTTCCTCCGTCTGGGCATCTGGGGGCCGTTTCTGGGCCTGGGGGCCGCCGAAAACGACCAAGCTGGGGCCGTTGCGACGTCGGAGGTCTGGGGACGAGGGAAAATGAGGAGGAGGAGGAGGAGGAGGAGGAGGAGGAGGAGGAGGAGGAGGGGGATGATGGGAGAAGGAGGAGGAGGAGGAGGAGGAGGAGGAGGAGGGGAGGGGGAGGGGGAGGAGGAGGAGGAGGAGGAGGAGGAGGAGGAGGAGGAGGAGGGGGAGGAGGGGGAGGAGGAGGAGGAGGAGGAACAGGAGGGGGAGGAAGAGGAGGAGGAGGATGAGGAGGAGGAGGAGGAGGGGTAATACATGGAGGAGCAGGAGGAGGTGGAGGAGGCGAAATCGGCAACATGATCAAGCACGCACACCGAAAGACCACTTAGCAGAACAGAAGACCACTTAGCAGGAACACGATTTAAGAGGAGAGGGAGGCAAAAGGAGGAGGAGGTTTCTTGGCGGCCTCTTGGGGGCCGACAAGAGAGTTCCAAGACGGCCCAAGGCCTCCAAGACGCCTTTAGACGGCCCTAAAGGGCTCCAAGACGGCCCAAAAGGCCCCCCAAATTGTCCAAAAGGGCCCCAGAAGGGCCCCCAAAAGGCTCCCAATAAGGCCAGAGACGCAGAATAAAAGGGCGATCGGTAACGCAACAAGCTCTTCGCACCAAGGCTCCCAACAGCGAACGGTGACGTGACAAATTTGTAACACCAATGCTCCCAAGAGCGAACGGTGACGTAAACAACTGTCAACACCATGACTCCCAAGAGCGAACGGCAACGTAAAAGTCTTTGAACACCAGGGCTCCCGAGAGCGAGCGGTGACGTAACAAGCTCTTACCAGCAGGGCTCCCCAGAGCGAAGGGTGCCGTGAGCCATCTCGGGCAAGTTCTTAGTCCGCTCGTTCCGTCCCCGTGCCGGCCCAGGCAACGGAAAGAGCGAGGTACGAGTGATGACGCTGCGTTTTGGGCGAAGCCCTTAAGGGGGGGGGGTCGGGGGGGGGGGCGTAGCGCGAGCGGATGGGTTTAATTGCCGTTTTGGACCGTTTTCCTTAGGGGTTTTGCATGTTTTCCGGGTTTCCCCCCCAAGACGGCCCAAGAGAGCCCAAGACCGCCCAAGACGGCCCAAGAGGCCCCCAAGAGGCGCCCAAGGGGCGTCCGAACAGGGCCCCAAGAGGCCAAAACTATTGATTGCCCAAAGGAAAACGTACATATTTAGCAGATGCGGCTTTTCGGCTTTCACGGCGTTGACGACGGCCCAAGAGGCCCCCAAGACCGCCCCAAGACGGCCCAAGAGGCTCCCGAGAGGCCCCCAAGAGGCCCAAGAGGGCCCCAAGACGGTCCAAGAGGCGCCCAAGACGGCCCAAGAGGGCCCCAAGACGGCCCCAAGAGGGGGACCACGAACCAAAAAGTAGCTTTTCGCCCCAAGACGCTCCCAGGAGGCCCCGAGAGCCCCCCAAGAAGCCCCAAACGGCCCCCAAGAGGCGTCCCAAGAGGCCACCAGGAGGCCAAAATCATTGATTTCCGATACGGGAAATATTGCAGATTTAGCATACACGGCTTTTCGGTTTTCACGGCGATGACGACGGTCCAGGGAGGCCCCCAAGACCGCCCCAGGACGGCCCAAGAGGCTCCCGAGAGGCACCCAAAACGGCCCAAGAGGGCCCCAAGATGGCCCAAGAGGCGCCGAAGACGGCCAAAGAGGGCCCCAAGACGGTCCAAGAGGGGGGCCACAAACCGAAAAGTCTTAGCTTTTCGCCCCAAGAAGCTCCCCCCAAGAGCCCCCCAAGAAGCACCAAGAGGCCCCCAAGACCGCCCCCAACAGGCCCCCAAAGGGGCTCGAAAAGGGCCGCAATAGGACCCCCAAGAAGGCTCAGAGAAGCCAAATTTAGAGCGATCGGTAACACAAAAAGCTCTTCACACCAAGGCTCCCAAGAGCGAACGGTGACGTAAACAAGCTGATAAGACCAAGGCTCCCAGCAGGGAGCGATGACGTAACAAGTTCCTGACACCAAGGCCCAGCCAAGGCTCATGAACGGGCGGCAACGCAACAATCTCTGAACACCAAGGCTCCCAAGAGCGCGGGGTGACGTAACAAGCTCTCAACGCCAAAGGCTCCCAGTACGAACGGTGGTGTGAGTAATTTCGGTCAAGTTGTTGAAGCGCTCTTTCCGTTTCTGTGGCGGGCCCAGGTCTAGTGGTTTTCGGCCCATCCCGCCACCCGGCTTGGGTTGTGGGTCATAGGCCTCTAGGATGTTCGCTGAATTCTCGCGGGAGGCTTCTCGGGGGCAAATTGGGGGCGGTTTTGAACCCGTTTGGGGATCGCGTTGGGGCCTGTTGGGGCGACTTCGGGGCCTCTTGGGGTTCTCTTGGGGCCTCATTGGCGGCCTCTTGGGGACTCCTTGGGGCCTCCTGGAGGCTCCTAGGAGCGGAAGACTCGGACTTTTTGATTGTGTGTCCCTTCTTGGGCCCTTCTTGGGGCTGTCTTTGTTTGGCCTCTTGGGCTGTCTTGGGCGCCTCTGGGGCCGTGGAGCCCTCTCCTCTTGGGCCGTGTTTGGGGCCTCCTGAAGGCCTCTCGGGCCGTCTTGGGGCGGTCCTGGGGGCATCTTGGACCGTCTTGGGGCGTCGGGAGCTCGAAAAGTCGAGGACCCCAGAATCATCGAAGATTTTCATCAATGAGTTTGACCTCTCGGGGCCCTCTTGGGGGGCATATTGGAGGCCTCTTGGGGCGTCTTGGAGGCCTCTTAGGCCGTCTTGGGGTCATCGGGAGCGTCTTGGGGCGGTCTTTGGACATCTCAGGGCCGTCTTGAGGGCCGCTTGAAGCCCTCTTGGCCCGTTTTGGGGTTTGTTTGGGCCCGAAAAAGTCATGCGGGAAGATGCCTGGAACCCCAGGGGGCCTGCGACAAGCCTTGGAAGATTTGGCAATTTGTGATCCGGGCCGTGAAAGACTCTGCGGGAGTGAGGACCGAGGCGTCGAGGATTAGGCAGAGGACCGGAGGACACGCCCACTCCGTGCCCGGCGGCACGGTGGCGGATCATCACGGTTCCGTAAGGGCGCCCGCCTACGGTCCAGTGCGAATCTTTGGTTGCGCAGGAGCCATGAGTTGGCACCCCCGCCTGCTCACTGACCGCGTGCCCCCTGGCCTCCTGTCCTACCCGCCACATTCCTTCTCCTAAACAGGGGCTGCGCAGCCTCTGCCCAGTCTTCTGGCCTCTGAGGTGAGTGTTGGAATGACCAGGCGCACTGGGCGGTTCGCTTGCAGGGCGCCGGGCGTCAATGCCATGTTGCCCCAGTTCGTGCAGAAATACACGCACAATCGTTCTTTCGGTGACTTGGTCCCGCTTCAACCATTATAGAGTGGTGATGCATCTGGGGCAGCTTGTGTGAATAGACCCCATCGGCGTGCTCGCGGATCTTCGCCGTGTCGATCCAATAGGCCCCAAGCCCAAGAAAACAAAGGAGTGCGGAGAAGGGAAGGGCAGGGGAAGAGGAGGAAGGACAAAGTGGAGGAGGTGAGGGGTAAGTAACGCTTCTCTTCGGCCGCCAAGACAGCGCCTTGGCGCGTACCAGAGCAAGTTCTGGTGTTTGAGAATGGCGCGCGCTGTTGCACGGCGGGGTCACCTATGTGCAGGGTCCCTTGCTGTTGTGAAGACGAGTTCGCGAAGAGCATGGGCCGGGGTGACGATTTCAAAGTGAAGCCAAGGCTTCGGAAAGACATTGCTTGGAGGGCAATCGCAGCACCAGCGGGCCCGGCGGTGCCTTTGGATCCTGGCCGCCTGGAGGGCACGTGTTGCTTGTCCGTGCAGTTGTGCCGGCCAGGGAGACCCTCTGGGGAGCGGCGCTCTTGAGAAAATAGCGCAGGTAGTTCGCACACGCTACATGCCTGCCGGTCGCCAGAGCGGCGGCCGCATGCGGGCACTGATATTCCCGTGCTTGTGGGCATCTGTTCCTTCTCCTTGGACTCTCCTTTCTAAAAGAGTATTCGGATCTACTTCTCCCGGGGGTTGTCGGGACATTTTTTCGTATTGCAATTTACATATGATCTTGCCCCATCGTCCGCACTTAACATGGATTCGTACCATCCCAGGCAGGCCGGTATCGGTTCCCCCCTTCATTCTCTGGTGAAAATTTAACGCGCGCAGCACACTCGTTCATCAAAAACCATCAGTTGTTAATAATCCCTTGCAAAAAACAGGACGAAGTACACATGCGCGCGTCGTCGCGCGCGCATGCCGATATCCTTCGAAAACCTCAGGCTTCGTTAGGATTTGAATTTCGAGTGTCCCGAACACATGAAAGCACATGGTTTCGCAACGGATATCTAATAACAAATACATGGCCCAAACATGATTTTTGCACACAGGAATTCCCGCACTCAGCAATCGAAGTAAGAACCCCTGAGTGCAAGCACTGCTTGGAAGATAGTCGAAGAGGTACCTCCGCAGAAGTGTTGGCTCGAGGCCCTCGCTCGGCCTCGGGGGCGGGCCCGCCCGAGGGCGCCTCCAGAGGGGCCGCGCAGCCGTCCACCGATGGCAGCAGTCGGACACCGCTGGCCCGGCCAGCCGACTCCGGTGGCGAGCGACAGCGAGACGGAGTGCGCAGAGCGATCGAAACTGACACAACGTTGGGAGCTCCGCGCGGAGTTCCGAGATCGGCGCCGGGACCCGCCCCTGTCGCGCTCGGCTCGCCAGGGAGGGAGGTCCGGCGCCGATCCACCAGAAATTCTCCGCGCGGACCTCCGAAATGTCACGATTATCGAGCGAAGAGAGCTATGCACATGCACCGATCCTGACAACGCCCATCCTTGACCCAGGATCGGTGCATATGCCTTCCTGGCCCAGGTAGGAGGGCGTATGCACCGATCCTGGGCTCAGGATGGGCCTGGCCAGAATCGGTGTATGTGCATAGTTCTTTTTCCTCTAGATTACGTGGTTGTTATTTCTTCCAGGAGTTCGGCCTCTTCTCGCACCACGCTGGCCATGTGCGTCAGAGTTCTCTCGAGACCGAGCAGGACCTGCCCTCGGCGAGGCAGAGGCTGCGCGACATGCTGGATGACCCCTCATCTTCGGGTGTCGCGCAGGCCGTCCACTACTTCATCATCGGGGCCATCATCACTGGTTCGCTTCTCACCGTGGTGGAGACCATGCCGACCATGCGCATTCACGCGCCGTTCCTTGACGCGATGGATTTCCTGGTGACGATCATCTATTCGATCGAGATCGTCCTGCGGTTTTACGCCACGGATGACTGCGTGGGCTTCTGCGTATTTTTCAACATCGTTGACGTGGCCTCGACTTTGCCTGGTTATCTCGAGCTCGTCATCCGAGCGTACGGCGAGTCGCCGAAGGCGGCTGCGACGGTGGCTCCGATCCGGATCCTCCGGATCTTCCGTGTGGTTCGCCTTCTCAGGGTCGTCCGGGTGTTCAAGCTGGTCAAGGACAACCACTACGCACAGCAGACGGCCCTCCTCGTCGAGGTGATAACCGAGGCCGCCACGCACTCGGGGCTCTGCGTCATCCTGCTCCTGTTCGGCCTCATGACCGTCATCGCGTCGACGCTGCTCTACCTGTTCGAGGCGCCCGAGTGCCTCCAGGGCTGGGCCACGCCCAGGGACGAGCTCTACGCCATCCCGCCGCAGGACTGCACGGCGCGGTCGAACTTCGACTCGATCCCAGCTTTAAGTCGGGCGTGTCCCTCTACAGGGGGAGTATTCAAAAATAGCCACTATTTTGTCTGGGGGCGATTTTTCGACTATGTTCCCTACCTAGGCTCTGCCTAGAAGGGTTCTTACTCTCTTAGCTTAAAGGGGCCGGGCAGTGCTAAGCGCCCCGGGCGGTTCCCCCAGTCCCCTGGGAGCGGCTCCCCCCAGTCCCCTGGGAGCTTTAGCTTTAGCTTTAGCTTTAGCTTAGCTTTAGCTTAGCTTTAGCTTAGCTGTAGTTTAGCTTTAGCTTAGCGTTTCGCTTAGCTTTTCGCTTAGCGTTTAGCTTAGCTTTAGCTTAGCTTTAGCTTTAGCTTTAGCTTAGCTTTTAGCTTAGCTTTAGCTTAGCTTTAGCTTAGCTTTAGCTTAGCTTAGCTAGCTTAGCTTAGCTTTGCTCAGCTTTAGCTTAGCTAGCTTTAGCTTAGCTTTAGCTTAGCTTTAGCTTAGCTTTAGCTTAGCTTTAGCTTAGCGCTTAGCTGCTTACTACTAATGCTGCTTTCCTAGGGGTTCCAACTCCTAGGTAGGGTCGCACTGGGATAATTTTACAATTATTGGGGTGTTTTCCCTACCTAGGCTCTGCCTAGAAGGGTTCTTACCCGCTTGGCTTAAAAGGGGCCGGGCAGTGCAAACCGCCCCGGGCGGTTCCCCCAGTCCCCTGGGAGCCAGGCAAAAGCAACAGCAAAGGTAAAAGCAAACGCGCGGTTCCCCCAGTTGCACTCCCTGGGTGCCAAGCAAAAGCAAACGCAAAGGCAAAAGTGAAGGCAAAAGCGAAGGTAAAGCAAAAGCATAGCATAGCATAGTATAGCATAGCATAGCATAGCGCAGCATAACATAGCGCAGCATAGCATAGCATAGCATAGCATAGCGCAGCACAGCATGGCGTCGGCGGTTCTGGCGCTACTACTACTACTACTACTACTACTACTACTACTACAACTACTACTACTACTACTACTACTACTACTACTACTACTACTACTTACTACTACTACTACTACTACTACTACTACTACTACTACTACTACTACTACTACTACTACTACTACTACTACTACTACTACTACTACTACTACTACTACTACTACTACTACTACTACTACTACTACTACTACTACTACTACTACTACTACTACTACTACTACTACTACTACTCCTACTACCACTAGTACCGCTACTGCTACAACTACGACGATGAGGAGAAGGAGGAGGACGGCGTTTACCGCTCCAATTCATGTTTCTTTCCTAGAGGCTCCAACTCCTAGGTAGGGTCGCACTGGGATAATTTTCCACTAAACTTTTCGCACAAGATCCCCGTGTAGGGGGACAGGCTCGACTTAATCCCAGCTGTGTTCTGGTGGGCCGTGACGACGCTCACCACGGTCGGGTACGGCGACATGGTGCCCACGTCGCCCGCGGGCAGGGTGGTCGCCGGGCTGATGTGCGTCTGCGGCGTCATGATCATGGCCGTGGCCTCGGCGCAGTTCTCCCTCCTCTTCCGCGAGAGGTGGGTGCAGGCCAAGGCGCGGGACCACTTCCGGCGGCAGCTCGAGAGCCACAGCGACGGCGCGCTGGCAAGGGAGCGCGACGAGATCGAGCAGCTGGCCGCGAACATGCGGCACACCGTCGACCAGCTTGTCGCGAAGGTCGCGGGCGCCTCGCTCGAGGCCGGTGACGGATCAACTCCGGCTGAGGTTGCGCCGCTGCTCATGTCCATCAAAGAGCACGCCGCCGTGCTCAATGTCGGCACATGTTCGTTCATCTACGACGCGCTGGCCTCGGCGCTCCTCGAGAGCGAGGCCAAGTCCGCGATCGCGGAGGGTCGGGCGGAGAGAACTATGCACATGCACCGATCCTGGCCAGACCCATCTTGGGCCCAGGATCAGTGCAAATCCCATGCTAGCCAAGCCAGGAGGGCGTAAACACCGAGCCTGGGCGCAGGATGGGCCTGGCCAGGATGGGTGCACGTGCTTCTCTGTCCTTACAGGAGGTGCCGCCCGACGCGGAGGGCCGCGCGGAGTTTTCCACACCCGCGAGGCAACCGTCCATGAGCGACGTCGGCAGCGCCGCGACCACGGCCGCCATCGTCCGGCAGCTGAGCCCCGCGGCCGGGTACCCCGGCAGCCAGCTCGGCCTCCTCAGGAAGCGAGCCACATCCATGGCCTTGACGGCGCAGGAGATGTGCCTTGACGAGGATGCTCCGCATCCTGCGCAGATGGAGAGGAGATGCAGCGACCCAGGCATTGGACGGCATCGCAGCGCGAATGTCCTCGGCGAGGACACCGCGGCGGGGGCCGAGGGCGCGGGGGCCGAAGGTCCGACGCCCACGGGCCTGGAGCCCGAGCCCCTTGCCAGGGCCTCCGAGGGCTTCTCCGACGTCTCCGACGTGTCCGACGAGAACGACGGCAAGGCCGACGGGCGTGCTGCGGGCGCCGTCCTGGAGCGCCCCTCCGTGGCTCCTGCGCGGCCGGCGGGAGCCGGCGACGAGGACGACATCGAGGCCAGCGACGGCGAGGCCCGCGGGTGCGCCGCGGGCGCCGTCCCCGAGCGCCCCGCTTTGGCTCTGGCGCGGCCGGCGGAAGCGGGCGACAAGAACGACGACGTCGAGGCCGACGACGGCGAGGGCGACGGCCGGGCCGACGTCGAGGCCGAAGGCGAGGACGAGGGCGAGCACGACAAGGGCTCACACGGCGAGGCCAGGGACGAGAACGCGGCCGCGGCGCGCCCGGCGAGAGCGGCCAGCGAGGACGCACCCGACGAGGGCCCGCAGTAAGCTGTGGGCGCTGGCAGCCTCGCACCCGACGAGGCCGTTTTCGGCCTCTTGTCCCTCCTGGGCCCCGGGGACCATCACAGACGGGGCGCAGGAGCTGGTCCCAGGGACTGGGTCCAGACATCTTGGGGTCGACGTCGTGAAGAATCACGACGTCGGGGGGTCTGGCTCTCCTCCTCCTTGAAATCCCTTCGACCGCACGTGAGAATGGTCCGTCACCGCCGTGACCGGTGGTGCGGGCCCACGGGGTCTCCCCGGCACCTGGCCCGCGCGCTGGGATGCCGCGCCCCCGCGGCCCTTCGGAAGCCTCGCACCGCAGGCCACTCCTGCCCAGGGTTAGGTCGGGCGTGTCCCCCCATATAGGGTGGCTTGGGACGAAAAATGTCAACAAACCAAACAAGTCCAACACGATTCAAACATATTTCAAAATATCGTCCCCCGATTCTTCTTGATACTGTTTCTGAATATTCCTCCTGGAGAGGGACAGACCCGACTCCTGCCCAGGGTCACTCCTGTGCGCGCATCGCCGATCGGTGTTCGATCCGAAAGCCCTGCCGCCGCCCCCCCCACTCTGGGCGCCAGGTGCAGCAGGGCATGGACAACAAAAAAACGTGGCCTCGGGGGCTGGGATCTTACAGTGGGCGCTCATCAAGAAACCAGATGCTTTTCGTCCGGGTATCCTGGGTTCCTTCGCTCCTCGCGCTGCGCGGTGACTTCCCGCAGCCGTTGGAGGAGCTGATGCGTTCAGGGTGCTCCGGGTTTCCCCTCAGGTGCACCTCGCGCACGGGTTCTCAGGGTTGGGTTCCGTGCGAGGCTTTCTCGTATCCCCGCTCGGGAGCTGCGGCTGCAGATCCCGAGCCCGCCCGCCGACCCCTTGGGGGCCGTCCCTGAGGTCTCCTCGGTCCCGCTTGGGGCCCTCGTGTGCCACTTCTGGGGGCCTCCTTTGGGCTTCTCTTGGGCCGCCGCCCGGGCCCCTCGCGGGGGGAGGGGAGTGACATGTCGAGCGCCGCTCGTGCAGCTGAGCCCCGGGCTGCACGAGCGGCGCCATCCGGCGCCCACGCCGGGCCCCCTGCGCGCGGCCGCCCCTGCACGGGCACGAGCCGGGAGGCGCCCTGCCTTCGCTTCCCCCGGGACATGCGATGTCCTGCTGTCTCCCTGCCTTCTCGCGTGTGTTGGGTTCTCGTTTTGAACAGAGCACTGTGGTCTCCGTCCTCTTCCTCCCGCACCCTCCTCCTCCTGCCTCCTTCCCCGCTCCTGCCTCCTGCCTCCTGCCTCCTCCTCCTCCTCCTCCTCCTCCTCCTCCTCCCTTCTCCTCATGCCGTCTGCCTCCTTGCCCCCCTTCCCCCAAGACATGGGATGTCTTGATGTGTTGTTAGCAAGGGTCCCCGGGCCCCGTGGCCTCCCATCGCTGTAGTATCGTCAGTGTTAGTCTGGCTCTTATTCGCCGCATTCTGTTCTTATGCTGTTTGGGGCCTTCTGCCTCAAGGGTGCCATTTTTCAATACGGGGTCCCCAGAAGTCCCGACCCCTTCCCCAGGGCTTGTTTTGACGGCGCCAGGGCCCAGTGATCAAGGGCCCTCTGAGGCCGAGCGCTGTGGAAGACTTCCGCCTTGATTTTGTTCAGGACGCTGCACGTCAGGGTTCGGAACCTCTCCAGTCCCTCGCCAATTGAGGCCGCGGACCCCGGCCATCCCTCGCGGGGCACGGCGAGAGGCGGGGCGGATGGTAGGCGCGCGCTCGCCTCGGGCACGCGGCGGCGGCGGCCGCCTCCGACCGCGGCGCCGCTGTGATGCGAGGCTGCGATACCTGCTGTCGGGGGCGACCCCCCCCTCGGTAAAATTAGCCTGGCGAAGGGCCCAACCATATGCAGTTGTGGGTACCCACGTCGTGAGTACTGCAGTCGGTGGATCGTCTTATGGGGCCGCGAGCCGTGTGACAGGTGTGCCGAAATGTGACGGGACCGCAAAGGAACTTTGCCACTGGGGCCGTCGGTGGAGCTCCCTATGGGGCCACGACACGTGCGAGGGGGTCGCAGAAATCGAAGGTGGAACCGCATGCGGGCGCTGTCCCTGGAGCCTTCGGTGGAGCCCCCTGGGGGGCCAAATGGGCGTGGAACCGCATGCAAGCACTGCCGCTGGGGCCTTCGGTGGAGCTCCCCATGGGGCCACGAAGCGTGTGAGGGGTGCACCGAAATGGGTGTGGAACCGCATGCGGGCGCTGCCGCAGGGGCCTTCGGTGGAGCTCCCTATGGGACCACGAACAGTGTGAGGGGTGCACCGAAATTTGTGTGGGACCGCATGCGGGCGCTGCCGCTGGGGCCTTCGGTGGAGCTCCGTATGGGGCCACGAACGTGAGGGGTGCCAAACTGGGCGGGGAACTGGATGCGAATTTTGCCACTTGGGCCTTCGGTGGAGCTCCTTATGGGGCCACGAGCCACGAACCGTGTGAGGGGTGTGCCGAAATGGGAGTGGAAAGGCAAGCGAACTTTGCCACCGGGGCCTTCGGTGAAGCTCCCTATGGGGCCACGAACCGTGTAAGAGGTGTGCCGACATAGGCGGGGAACCACCTGCGAATTTTGCCACTGAGGCCTTCGGCGGAGCTCCCTATGGGGCCACGAACCGTGTGAAGGGTGTGCCGAAATGGGTGGGGAACCGCATGCGAATTTTGCCACTGAGGCCTTCGGCGGAGCTCCGTACGGGGCCACGAACCGTGTGAGGGGTGTGCCGGAATGGGAGGAGAACTGGATGCGAACTTTGCCACTGAGGCCTTCGGTGGAGCTCCCTACGGGGCCACGAACCGTGTGAGGGGTGAGCCGACATGGGCGGGGAACCACCTGCGAATTTTTCCACTGATCACGAATCGTGTGAGAAGTGTGCCGACATGGCCACCTGCGAATTTTGCCACTGAGGCCTTCGGTTGAGCTGGGGCCACGAACTGTGTGAGGGGTGTGGCGAAATGGGCGGGGAACCGCATGCGAACTTTGCCACTGAGGCCTTCGGCGGAGCTCCCTATGGGGCCACGAACCGGTTGAGGGGTGTGCCGAAATGGGCACTGAGGCTTTCGGTTGAGCTCCCGATGGGGCCACGAACCGTGTGAGAGGTGTGCCGAAATAGACATCCGGAGGGCAGAGGCACGCATGGGAGGAGGGAGGAAGGGGAGGAGGATGCAGAGGGCAGAGGCACGCATGGGAGGAGGGAGAGGGGGAGGAGGAGGACAGGAGGAGGAGAACGCTGGGCGCTGTCTCGTCAAACCGAGGACCCAACACCACAGGATGGTTGGGAGCAAAAGTAAACGGTCGGGGACGTTGTCTTAGCGTGTCGCGCCGCCAATTCTAGCCCACCACGCTTCGGCGCGACACTCTATCCACGTCGCAGTCCCCAGACGTCAACTTCCCGAGTTGTTCCCAGCCCCCTGCCATGCGGAGCGGAGCGACACGCTATCCGCTTGCAAGACATGGCGTGTCGCCGGGTCCGCCGCCGCGACACGCTATGCAAAAGTTCTTGACCGTATACCCGAAGACATCGAGAAGCGGCGGGCCCAGACCAAATCTGTTTTCACGCGCCCTCCTACGCCATCGTCATGTTTCTGCGTTCTCCTTCTGACCGGCTCGCGTCGTAGAAAAATCACGACGGGAGGTGTTGGTCAGTTTTCGGCCTCCGCGGGCCCTCGCTGGGCCTCAGGACTGTCAAAACCGACTCGGGATTAAAAAAACATGCCCTGGGTAGTGGTCGGTATTTGCCCCCGTATTGAAAAATCACATCCTCGCGACAGAAGGCCCTAAACAATATGATAAATGAGTAGGTTAATAGAAGTACGACGAACGATAGCAATACGTATACCCTCGATACAACAACTGTGGGAGGCCACGGGAGATCACGGGAGGCCACGGGAAGCCACGGAATTACAATGCGCACGAGTGATCCCAGATCCGGCGATCCCCGCACTCGGCCTCTTAGGAGGAATATACTGGACCATCACAAATAAGCGGTGTAGGGAGTGAAGGCAAATACGAAGACTCGCAGTTCTTATGCATATATTAGGGCGAGTACGGCAGGTGCTTTACACATTTTCGTGTGAGAATGTGGGTGTGTTGTTTGCTGTATCTCAAGAGAGCATAGTAACACATGTTGTGTGGACTTATCACAGACCTTCCCAGATGCTGGATCATGGCATGTGATTGTGTATCAGACATTACGCACACACACCGTACTATTATATATGTATACAACCAGATATTCGAAAACACCTTACATCGCACTGCCGCTTGTTAGGCTAGCGCATGTTATACTGCATAACAGCATCTCAGTATAGACCACATCGTTCGATCATACCGCACCTTGGCATCACTTTACCGAGACGGACAAAGAGGTCTCAGCAAGGTGATGGGGGGCGCGTTGATCCCCCAGGCACAACCCGCACAGCGCTTCCCCGTCCCTAGGGCTGCCCACGTATACCCCTCCAGCGACGAGCGGCACAGCACCATTTGGGGCAATGCCTTCGATATACACTTCTACATGTGCGCGGCGCCCCCCCTCCCTCCTCCGCGCCGCCCACTCCTCGCCCCCCTCCCCCTGTTGGCTTAGTGATGTCATAGCTCCAAGCGGGGTGGCGATGCCTGCGCTCGCATCAGGATGCACAGGCGACGCCCGCACCCCAGCAGTTGACGCTCCTGCTGTGCCTGTGCTGGTACAAGCCACTTCCCGCGGAGCCTGCGCTAATGCAGCGGCGCACAGGCGATGCCTGCACCTTGTTCCCTAAGATCGTTTCGCTAGAGGGCTTAACTCGTGATCACACTAAAGTATTTTCACTCTGGGGGGCCGGGCGGAGGCGTCTCCCAGGCCTGACGGGTTGCAGGGGGCGCTGGTGGGGATGAGGATTACTCTCGTGTTTTGATTTGGTCTGGTCCAGAAATGAGAGCATTATTGTGTTCGAGCTCGATTTCAGCCTTCGCAGATCCAAACATGGCGCTCACTATAATATTTTGCTTCCATGTGGCTCAGAAAT